TGTGTACTGATAACGGTAGCGAGTTCTGCGATGACGTAATGGAATTGTTAGTACTCGTATCAGGCATGTACCATAGAAAGGGTGTACAAAATACACTGCAAACACAAAGCGCGAATAAAACGCGCCATAGAAGACTTAAGTTCTTCTTACGTACTGCATTAACGGATGATGTAGATGATTGGCCGTACCACCTTAAGTGGGTACAAACACAGATGAACGAGTGTGCTGATCCGGTTACAGGTACAACACCCGCTCACTATTTTCGTGGCAGATATAGTGAGTTACAAATCCCCTTTAACAAAAACGAACCTGATCACCATGAGTGACCGTGGTTAGAGAAGGTCCAACGTATTTATAACGTTGTATATCCTTGCTTGCGAGAATTACGCAATATAGCCTTATTAAAAAGGCAAAAGCGTTGGAACACTACCAAGAAGATAGCAGAGTATCAGGTTGGTGACAGAGTTAACATCCGTCAACGTAATTTCGATGCTACTGTATTAACATCTAAATGGATAGGTCCATATATAATCTCTGTAGCAGACACTAAAAGTGGAACCTATGAGGTTAATAACCCCGACGGTTCTAGTGCTTTAAATATAGGAACTAGTCGGATTCCGACTACCGAGATTATACTCGTAAGAAGACATGACTTTAATGCCCCTCTTGATCGTTATGAACTTAAAGACACTATATGGAGAACGGATAAGGGAGGTTATACATACTATCGTACAGGATTTATAGACGGTACAATCGCTTAGTTAACTTCAGACGCTTTTGACAATCAGGACTATTTAAAGGCCCTTAACAGGAAATGGCGTAAACGCCTACATAAGTCACAGGTTGAAAAAGATAGCATGTTCCCATCGTCTGAAGGCACGGAAGTTAAAACTTATCCGCCAACAGAGTTTATCCCGAGCTTTACTGCTCATCCTTCGTATGTTCCAAAAACATTGAAGCGTAAGAAACGTTCAGTCGACCACCACGGACCTACTGGACCTAAATCCAAAACTCACAGGGTAACAGAGAACACGTAACTTCTCCGCCTGAGAAACATTAACTATACGTTATGCTACTTAATGTTTTCGACCTGTTTTCCTTTCTCGCTTTTTGACCCATAATCAGCTGGAGTGAGCAACTTGCTTCTCCTGGGTCTCAAAGCTGGGTGGGGGCTGTGTAAAAGCCAGGCCTCCACATTAGAATCTTGTAATATAAACGTACTCTTAATAGTACGTAAAACGTAATCTCAAAAGTACGTATACATAAGTTTTCCTTAAATGGGTTTTAACGGTTTTTATTAACTAAATACCTTTTCCATTTTACATATCAGATATTTGGACGAGGCCATTAAAAGGCCTCAGTAAAATACCAAACATAAGAGTTGGTCTAGTTCTATTAATAGAACTATATTTACTTTCCCACTTTATTTATATCTGAATACTTCGGTAGCGAGATGGCTCAACCGAATATAGGTTTCTAGGGACAATTAACGTTACCTAGTTGATCCTCCGATCAGCCAACCAGATGTGCCAGTCTGATGAAGGCTAAGTCGGTAATTCTTGTTAAGTGGCAAGTTATTGGTTAAGACAATAACTAAGGACATCAAGAGTTTTTTTTCTTTTTTTTCTTTTCTTTTTTTCTAAAGATAGGATTTTATGAGTCTCTCGGATTCGCCCCAAATGAAATATACCATAGTTTTTAATAGAGCGACAACGAAACACTAAATAAAATTCCTTCGGCGGAAACAGTACTGAGAGGATAATATATAGGATACCTAACTTTACTAAAAGTCTCATTTCGATTATTTACTTTGATATTTTCACGATACTTAGAATTTACCTACGCGTTTATTTAATCTAAGGCGTTAATATCGCCTTAATAGACCGAATCTTACACTTGAAGCCCTCGTGTAAAGAAACAAAAAAATTCTCTATTTTAACGCAGTTTAGATGTCTGATGTAGTAAACACATCAAAATACAA